TCAAATTAAATATTGGTTAAAATAAAAGTTGTAAGAAAAAGGTATATTTGAAACTTAAAATAAAAATTATCTCATTTATAATAGAGTGTTTGTCATTTACTAACTTGCTTATTTACTTATTTACTTACTAACCAAATAAAATATAACGAATTTCTTTACCTACTTACTCATCACAACACAACTAAAATACTAACGAAAGCCATCGTTTTTTTACCATCCTTTCTCCTCCATATTTATTTATTTAATTCGTTATTTATTCTTATATTTAAAGTTCGAATAAAATTAGTGATGAAGGTGCAAAAGATTTAGGCACAGGAATAGCATAGTGCAAGAATATCACAACTTTGACGCTTAACTTACAGTAAAAATTTAATTTATTGATTGATAAACTAATAATAGAGAATGGAATATTTTAAGCTTTTGACATATTTATTAGCTAATTAAGCCAGCTTGCTTGTCATTTACTAACTTGTTTAATTACTTATTTACTTACTTAACCAAATAAAATATAACGAATTTCTTTACTTACTTACTCATCACAACACAACTAAAATACTAACGAAAGCCATCGTTTTTTTACCATCCTTTCTCCTCCATATTTATTTATTTAATTCGTTATTTATTCTTATATTTAAAGTTCGAATAATATTGGTGCATATGGTGCAAAAGATTTAGGCACAGGAATAGCCTAGTGCAAGAATATCACAACTTTGACGCTTGAATTATTGTAAAAATTTAATTTATTGATTGATAAACTAATAAAAAATAGAATATTTTAAGCTTTTGACATAGTTATTAGCTAATTAAGCCAGCTTGCTTGTCATTTACTAACTTACTTATTTATTTATTTACTTACTAACCAAATAAAATATAACGAATGTTTTTACTTACTTACTCATCACAACACAATTAAAATACTAACGAAAGCCATCGTTTTTTTACCATCCTTTCTCCTCCATATTTATTTATTTAATTCGTTATTTATTCTTATATTTAAAGTTCGAATAATATTGGTGCATATGGTGCAAAAGATTTAGGCACAGGAATAGCCTAGTGCAAGAATATCATAACTTTGACGCTTAATTTACAGTAAAAATTTAATTTATTGATTGATAAACTAATAATAGAGAATGGAATATTTTAAGCTTTTGACATATTTATTAGCTAATTAAGCCAGATTGCTTGTCATTTACTAACTTACTATATTTACTTACTAACCAAATAAAATATAACGAATTTCTTTACTTACTTACTCATCACAACACAACTAAAATACTAACGAAAGCCATCGTTTTTTTACCATCCTTTCTCCTTCATATTTATTTATTTAATTCGTTATTTATTCTTATATTTAAAGTTCGAATAATATTGGTGCATATGGTGCAAAAGATTTAGGCACAGGAATAGCCTAGTGCAAGAATATCATAACTTTGACGCTTAACTTACAGTAAAAATTTAATTTATTGATTGATAAACTAATAATAGAGAATGGAATATTTTAAGCTTTTGACATATTTATTAGCTAATTAAGCCAGTTTGCTTGTCATTTACTAACTTTCTTATTTACTTACTAACCAAATAAAATATAACGAATTTCTTTACTTACTTACTCATCACAACACAACTAAAATACTAACGAAAGCCATCGTTTTTTTACCATCCTTTCTCCTCCATATTTATTTATTTAATTCGTTATTTATTCTTATATTTAAAGTTCGAATAATATTGGTGCATATGGTGCAAAAGATTTAGGCACAGGAATAGCCTAGTGCAAGAATATCACTACTTTGACGCTTAACTTAGGGTAAAAATTTAATTTATTGATTGATAAACTAATAATAGAGAATGGAATATTTTAAGCTTTTGACATATTTGTTAGCTAATTAATCCAGTTTGCTTGTCATTTACTAACTTGCTTATTTACTTATTTATTAACTAACCAAATAAAATATAACGAATTTGTTTACTTACTTACTCATCACAACACTACTAAAATACTAACGAAAGCCATTGTTTTTTTACCATCCTTTCTCCTCCATATTTATTTATTTAATTCGTTATTTATTCTTATATTTAAAGTTCGAATAATATTGGTGCATATGGTGCAAAAGATTTAGGCACAGGAATAGCCTAGTGCAAAAATATCACAATTTTGACGCTTAACTTACAGTAAAAATTTAATTTATTGATTGATAAACTAATAATAGAGAATGGAATATTTTAAGCTTTTGACATATTTATTAGCTAATTAAGCCAGCTTGTTTGTCATTTACTAACTTGCTTAATTACTTTTTTACTTACTAACTAAATAAAATATAACTAATTTCTTTACTTACTTACTCATCACAACACAACTAAAATACTAACGAAAGCCATTGTTTTTTTACCATCCTTTCTCCTCCATATTTATTTATTTAATTCGTTATTTATTCTTATATTTAAAGTTCGAATAATATTGGTGCATATGGTGCAAAAGATTTAGGCACAGGAATAGCCTAGTGCAAAAATATCACAATTTTGACGCTTAACTTACAGTAAAAATTTAATTTATTGATTGATAAACTAATAATAGAGAATGGAATATTTTAAGCTTTTGACATATTTATTAGCTAATTAAGCCAGCTTGTTTGTCATTTACTAACTTGCTTAATTACTTTTTTACTTACTAACTAAATAAAATATAACTAATTTCTTTACTTACTTACTCATCACAACACAACTAAAATACTAACGAAAGCCATTGTTTTTTTACCATCCTTTCTCCTCCATATTTATTTATTTAATTCGTTATTTATTCTTATATTTAAAGTTCGAATAATATTGATGCATATGGTGCAAAAGATTTAGGCACTGGAATAGCCTAGTGCAAGAATATCACAACTTTGACGCTTAACTTACAGTAAAAATTTAATTTATTGATTTATAAACTAATAATAGAGAATGGAATATTTTAAGCTTTTGACATATTTATTAGCTAATTAAGCCAGCTTGCTTGTCATTTACTAACTTGTTTAATTACTTATTTACTTATTAACCAAATAAAATATAACGAATTTTTTTACTTACTTACTCATCACAACACAACTAAAATACTAACGAAAGCCATTGTTTTTTTACCATCCTTTCTCCTCCATATTTATTTATTTAATTCGTTATTTATTCTTATATTTAAAGTTCGAATAATATTGGTGCATATGGTGCAAAAGATTTAGGCACAGGAATAGCCTAGTGCAAGAATATCACAACTTTGACGCTTAACTTACAGTAAAAAATTAATTTATTGATTGGTAAACTAATAAAAAATAGAAAATTTTAAGCTTTTGACATAGTTATTAGCTAATTAAGTCAGCTTGCTTGTCATTTACTAACTTGCTTATTTACTTATTTACTTAATAACCAAATAAAATATAACGAATTTCTTTACTTACTTACTCATCACAACACAACTAAAATACTAACAAAAGCCATCGTTTTTTTACCATCCTTTCTCCTCCATATTTATTTATTTAATTCATTATTTATTCTTATATTTAAAGTTCGAATAATATTGGTGCATTTGGTGCAATAAATTTAGGCACAGGAATAGCCTAATGCAATAATATCACAACTTTGACGCTTAACTTACAGTAAAAATTTAATTTATTGATTGATAAACTAATAATAGAAAATGGAATATTTTAAGCTTTTGACATAGTTATTTGCTAATTAATCCAGCTTGCTTGTCATTTACTAACTTGCTTATTTACTTATTTACTTACTAACCAAATAAAATATAACGAATTTCTTTACTTACTTACTCATCACAACACAACTAAAATACTAATGAAAGCCATCGTTTTTTTACCATCCTTTCTCCTCCATATTTATTTATTTAATTCGTTATTTATTCTTATATTTAAAGTTCGAATAAAATTAGTGATGAAGGTGCAAAAGATTTAGGCACAGGAATAGACTAGTGCAAGAATATCACAACTTTGACGCTTAACTTACAGTAATAATTTAATTTATTGATTGATAAACTAATAATAGAGAATGGAATATTTTAAGCTTTTGACATATTTATTAGCTAATTAAGCCAGCTTGCTTGTCATTTACGAACTTGTTTATTTACTTATTTACTTACTAATCAAATAAAATATAACGAATTTCTTTACTTACTTACTCATCACAACACAACTAAAATACTAACGAAAGCCATCTTTTTTTTACCATCCTTTCTCCTCCATATTTATTTATTTATTTTATTCGTTATTTATTCTTATATTGAAAGTTCGAATAATATTGGTGCATATGGTGCAAAACAGTTAGGCACAAGAATAGCCTAGTGCAAGAAAATCACAACTTTGACGCTTAAATTACGGTAAAAATTTAATTTATTGATTTATAAACTAATAATAGAGAATGGAATATCTTAAGCTTTTGTCATATTTATTAGCTAATTAAGCCAGTTTGCTTGTCATTTACTAACTTGCTTAATTACTTATTTACTTATTAACCAAATAAAATATAACGAATTTCTTTACTTACTTTCTAATCACAACACAACTAAAATACTAACGAAAGCCATTAATTTTTTACCATCCTTTCTCCTCCATATTTATTTATTTAATACATTATTTATTCATATATTTAAAGTTCGAATAAAATTGGTGATGAGGGTACAAAATATTTAGGCACAGGAATAGCCTAGTGCAAGAATATCACAACTTTGACGCTTGAATTATTGTAAAAATTTAATTTATTGATTGATAAACTAAAAATAGAGAATGGAATATTTTAAGCTTTTGACATAGTTATTAGCTAATTAAGCCAGCTTGCTTGTCATTTACTAACTTGCTTATTTACTTATTTATTAACTAACCAAATAAAATATAACGAATTTCTTTACTTACTTACTCATCATAACACAACTAAAATACTAACGAAAGCCATCGTTTTTTTACCATCCTTTCTCCTCCATATTTATTTATTTATTTCGTTATTTATTCTTATATTTAAAGTTGGAATAAAATTGGTGATGAGGGTGCAAAACATTTAGGCACAGGAATAGACTAGTGCAAGAATATAACAACTTTGACGCTTAACTTACAGTAAAAATTTAATTTATTGATTTATAAACTAATAATAGAGAATGGAATATTTTAAGCTTTTGACATAGTTATTAGCTAATTAAGTCAGTTTGCTTGTCATTTAATAACTTGCTTATTTACTTATTTACTTACTAACCAAATAAAATATAATGAATTTCTTTACTTACTTACTCATCACAACACAACTAAAATAATAACAAAAACCATCGTTACCATCCTTTATCCTCAATATTTATTTATTTAATTCGTTATTTATTCATATATTTAAAGTTCGAATAAAATTAGTGATGAGGGTGCAAAATATTTAGGCACAGGAATAGCCTAGTGCAATAAAATCACAACTTTGACGCTTAACTTACAGTAAAAATTTAATTTATTGATTGATAAACTAATAATAGAGAATGGAATATTTTAAGCTTTTGACATATTTATTAGCTAATTAAGCCAGCTTGCTTGTCATTTACTAACTTGCTTATTTACTTATCTACTTACTAACCAAATAAAATATAACGAATTTCTTTACTTACTTATTCATCACAACACAATTAAAATACTAACGAAAACCATGGTTTTTTACCATCCTTTCTCCTTCATATTTATTTATTTAATTCGTTATTTATTCTTATATTTAAAGATAGAATTAAATTGGTGCATATGGTGCAAAAGATTTAGTCACAGGAATAGCCTAGTGCAAGAATATCACAACTTTGACGCTTGAATTATTGTAAAAATTTAATTTATTGATTGATAAACTAATATAGAGAATGGAATATTTTAAGCTTTTGACATATTTATTAGCTAATTAAGCCAGCTTGTTTGTCATTTACGAACTTGCTTATTTACTTATTTACTTACTAACCAAATAAAATATAACGAATTTCTTTACTTACTTACTCATCACAACACAACTAAAATACTAACGAAAGCCATCGTTTTTTTACCATCCTTTCTCCTCCATATTTATTTATTTATTTATTTCGTTATTTATTCTTATATTTAAAGAGAGAATAAAATTGGTGATGAGGGTGCAAAAGTTTTAGGCACAGCAATAGCATAGTACAAGAATATCACAACTTTGACACTTAACTTACAGTAAAAATTTAATTTATTGATTGATAAACCAATAATAGAGAATGTAATATTTTAAGCTTATGACATAGTTATTAGCTAATTAAGCCAGTTTGCTTGTCATTTACTAACTTGATTATTTACTTATTTACTTACTAACCAAATAAAATATAACGAATTTTTTTACTTAGTTACTTACTAATCACAACACAACTAAAATACTAACTAAAGTCATTGATTTTTTACCATCCTTTCTACTCCATATTTATTTATTTAATTCGTTATTTATTCTTATATTTAAAGTTCGAATAATATTGGTGAATATGGTGCAATAAATTTAGGCACAGGAATAGCCTAGTGCAAGAATATCATAACTTTGACGCTTAACTTACAGTAAAAATTTAATTTAATGATTGATAAACAAATAATAGAGAATGGAATATTTTAAGCTTTTGACATAGTTATTTGCTAATTAAGCCAGCTGGCTTGTCATTTGCTAACTTGCTTAATTACTTATTAACTTACTAACCAAATAAAATATAACGAATTTCTTTACTTACTTACTCATCACAACACAAATAAAATACTAACGAATGCCATCGTTTTTTTACCATCCTTTCTCCTCCATATTTATTTATTTAATTCGTTATTTATTTTTTTATTTTTAAAGAGAGAATAAAATTGGTGATGAGGGTGCAAAAGATTTAGGCACAGGAATAGGATAGTGCAAGAATATCACAACTTTGACGCTTGAATTATTGTAAAAATTTAATTTATTGATTGATTAACTAATAAAAAATAGAATATTTTAAGCTTTTGACATAGTTATTAGCTAATTTACCCAGCTTGCTTGTCATTTACTAATTTGCTTATTTACTTATTTACAAACTAACCAAATAAAATATAACGAATTTCTTTACTTACTTAATCATCACAACACAACTAAAATACTAACGAAAGCCATCGTTTTTTTACCATCCTTTCTCCTCCATATTTATTTATTTAATTCGTTATTTATTCTTATATTTAAAGAGAGAATAAAATTGGTGATGAGGGTGCAAAAGTATTAGGCACAGGAATAGGCTATTGCATGAATATCACAACTTTGATGCTTAACTTACAGTAAAAATTTAATTTATTGATTGATAAACTAATAATAGAGAATGGAATATTTTAAGCTTTTGACATATTTATTAGCTAATTAAGTAAGCTTGCTTGTCATTTACTAACTTGCTTATTTACTTATTAACCAAATAAAATATAACGAATTTCTTTACTTTCTTACTCATCACAATACAACAAAAATACTAACGAAAGCCATCGTTTTTTTACTATCCTTTCACATCCATATTTATTTAATTAATTAGTTATTTATTCTTATATTTCAAGTTCGAATAATATTGGTGCATATGGTGCAATATATTTAGGCACAGGAATAGCCTAGTGCAGGAATATCACAACTTTGAGGCTTAACTTACAGTAAAAATTTAATTTATTGATTGATAAACTAATAATATAGAATGGAATATTTTAAGCTTTTGACATATTTATTAGCTAATTAAGCCAGCTTGCTTGTCATTTAAGAACTTGCTTATTTACTTATTTACTTACTAACTAAATAAAATATAACGAATTTCTTTACTTACTTACTCATCACAACACAACTAAAATACTAATGAAAGCCATCGTTTTTTTACCATACTTTCTCCTCCATATTTATTTATTTAATTCGTTATTTATTCTTATATTTAAAGAGAGAATAAAATTGGTGATGAGGGTGCAAAAGTTTTAGGCAGAGCAATAGCATAGTACAAGAATATCATAACTTTGACGCTTAACTTAAAGTAAAAATTTAATTTATTGATTGATAAACTAATAATAGAGAATGGAATATTTTAAGCTTTTAACATATTTATTAGCTAATTAAGCCAGCTTGCTTATCATTTACTAACTTGCTTATTTACTTATTTACTTACTAACCAAATAAAATATAACGAATTTGTTTACTTACTTACTCATCACAACACAACTAAAATACTAACGAAAGCCATCGTTTTTTTACCATCCTTTCTTCTCTATATTTATTTATTAATTTATTTAATTCGTTATTTATTCTTATATTTAAAGTTCGAATAATATTGGTGCATATGGTACAAAAGATTTAGGCACAGGAATAGCCTAGTGCAAGAATATCACAACTTTGACGCTTAATTTAGGGTATAAATTTAATTTATTGATTGATAAACTAATAATAGAGAATGGAATATCTTAAGCTTTTGACATATTTATTAGCTAATTAAGCCAGCTGGCTTGTCATTTACTAACTTGCTTAATTACTTATTTACTAACTAACCAAATAAAATATAACGAATTTATTTTTTTATTTACTCATCACAAAACAACTAAAATACTAACGAAAGTCATCGTTTTTTTACCATCGTTTCTCCTCCATATTTATTTATTTAATTCGTTATTAATTCTTATATTTAAAGTTTGAATAATATTGGTGATGAGGGTGGAAAAGATTTAGGAACAGGAATAGCCCATTGCAGGAATATCACAACTTTGACGCTTAACTTAGGGTAAAAATTTAATTTATTGATTGATAAACTAATAATAGAGAATGGAATATTTTAAGCTTTTGACATATTTATTAACTAATTAATCCAGCTTGCTTGTCATTTACTAACTTGCTTATTTGCTTATTTACTTACTTACCAAATAAAATATAACTAATTTCTTTACTTACTTACTCATCACAACACAACTAATATACTAACGAAAGCCATCGTTTTTTTACCATCCTTTCTCCTCCATATTTATTTATTTAATTCGTTATTTATTCTTATATTTAAAGTTTGAATAATATTGGTGATGAGGGTGGAAAAGATTTAGGAACAGGAATAGCCCATTGCAGGAATATCACAACTTTGACGCTTAACTTAGGGTAAAAATTTAATTTATTGATTGATAAATTAATAATAGAGAATGGAATATTTTAAGCTTTTGACATATTTATTAGCTAATTAATCCAGTTTGCTTGTCATTTACTAACTTGCTTATTTACTTACTAACCAAATAAAATATAACGAATTTCTTTACTTACTTACTCATCACAACACAACTAAAATACTAACAAAAGCCATCGTTTTTTTACCATCCTTTCTCCTCCATATTTATTTATTTAATTCGTTATTAATTCTTATATTTAAAGAGAGAATAAAATTGGAGATGCGGGTGCAATAGATTTAGGCACAAGAATAGCCTATTGCAGCAATATCACAACTTTGAAGCTTGAATTATAGTAAAAATTTAATTTATTGATTGATAAACTAATAATAGAGAATGGAATATTTTAAGCTTTTGACATATTTAATAGCTAATTAAGCCAGCTTGCTTGTAATATACGAACTAGCTTATTTACTTATTTACTTACTAACCAAATAAAATATAACGAATTTGTTTACTTACTTACTCATCACAACACAACTAAAATACTAACTAAAACCATCGTTTTTTACCATCCTTTCTCCTCCATATTTATTTATTTAATTCGTTATTTATTCTTATATTTAAAGATAGAATAAAATTGGTGATAAGGGAGCAAAAGTTTTAGGCACAGGAATAGCCTATTGCAGCAATATCACAACTTTGACGCTTAACTTACAGTAAAAATTTAATTTATTGATTCATAAACTAATAATAGAGAATGGAATATTTTAAGCTTTTGACATATTTATTAGCTAATTAAGCCAGCGTGCTTGTCATTTACTAACTTGCTTATTTACATATTTACTTACTAACCAAATAAAATATAACAAATTTCTTTACTTACTTACTCATCACAACACAACTAAAATACTAACGAAAGCCATCGTTTTTTTACCATCCTTTTTCCTCCATATTTATTTATTTAATTCGTTATTTATTCTTATATTTAAAGTTCGAATATTATTGGTGATGAGGGTGCAAAAGTTTTAGGCACAGGAATAGGCTATTGCATGAATATCACAACTTTGACGCTTAACTTACAGTAAAAATTTAATTTATTGATTGATAAACTAATAATAGATTATGGAATATTTTAAGCTTTTGACATATTTATTAGCTAATTAATCCAGCTTGCTTGTCATTTACTAACTTGCTTATTTACTTATTTATTAACTAACCAAATAAAATATAACGAATTTCTTTACTTACTTACTCATCACAACACAACTAAAATACTAACGAAAGCCATCGTTTTTTTACAATCCTTTCTCCTCCATATTTATTTATTTAATTCGTTATTTATTCTTATATTTAAAGTTCGAATATAATTGGTGATGAGGGTGCAAAAATTTTAGGCATAGGAATAGCCCATTGCAGGAATATCACAACTTTGAAGCTTAACTTAGGGTAAAAATTTAATTTATTGATTGATAAACTAATAATAGAGAATGGAATATTTTAAGCTTTTGACATATTTATTAACTAATTAATCCAGCTTGCTTGTCATTTACTAACTTGCTTATTTACTTATTTACTTACTTACCAAATAAAATTTAACGAATTTCTTTACTTACTTACTCATCACAACACAACTAAAATACTAACGAAAGCCATCGTTTTTTTACCATCCTTTCTCCTCCATATTTATTTATTTAATTCGTTATTTATTCTTATATTTAAAGTTTTAATAAAATTGGTGATGAGGGTGCAAAATATTTAGGTATAGGAATATCCTATTTCATGAATATCACAACTTTGATGCTTAACTTAGAGTAAAAAGTTTATTTATTGATTGATAAACTAATAATAGAGAATGGAATATTTTAAGCTTTTGACATATTTATTAGCTAATTAAGCCAGCATGCTTGTCATTTACTAACTTGCTTATTTACTTATTTACTTACTAACCAAATAAAATATAATGAATTTCTTTACTTACTTACTCATCACAACACATCTAAAATACTAACGAAAGCCATCATTTTTTTACCATCCTTTCTCCTCCATATTTATTTATTTAATTTGTTATTTAATCTTATATTTAAAGTTCGAATAATATTGGTGCATATGGTGCAAAAGATTTAGGCACAGAAATAGCCTATTGCAGGAATATCACAACTTTGAAGCTTAACTTAGGGTAAAAATTTAATTTATTGATTGATAAACTAATAATAGAGAATGGAATATTTTAAGCTTTTGACATATTTATTAACTAATTAATCCAGCTTGCTTGTCATTTACTAACTTGCTTATTTACTTATTTATTTACTTACCAATTAAAATTTAACGAATTTCTTTACTTACTTACTCATCACAACACAACTAAAATACTAACGAAAGCCATCGTTTTTTTACCATCCTTTCTCCTCCATATTTATTTATTTAATTCGTTATTTATTCTTATATTTAAAGTTGGAATAAAATTGGTGCATATGGTGCAATATATTTAGGCACAGAAATAGCCTAATGCAAGAATATCGCAACTTTGACGCTTGAATTATTGTAAAAATTTAATTTATTGATTGATTAACTAATAAAAAATAGAATATTTTAAGCTTTTGACATAGTTATTAGCTAATTTACCCAGCTTGCTTGTCATTTACTAACTTGCTTATTTACTTATTTACTTACTAACCAAATAAAATATAACAAATTTCTTTACTTACTTACTCATCACAACACAACTAAAATACTAGACAGCCATCGTTTTTTTACCATCCTTTCTCCTCCATATTTATTTATTTAATTCGTTATTTATTCTTATATTTAAAGTTCAAATAAAATTGGTGATGAGGGTGCAAAATATTTAGGCACAGAAATAGCCTAGTGCAAGAATATCATAACATTGACGCTTAATTTACAGTAAAAATTTAATTTATTGATTGATAAACTAATAATAGAGAATGGAATATTTTAAGCTTTTGACATATTTATTAGCTAATTAAGCCAGATTGCTTGTCATTTACTAACTTGCTAATTTACTTACTAACCAAATAAAATATAACGAATTTCTTTACTTACTTACTCATAACAACACAACTAAAATACTAACTAAAGCCATCGTTTTTTTAATCCTTTCTTCTCCATATTTATTTATTTAATTCGTTATTTATTCTTATATTTAAAGTTCGAATATAATTGGTGATGAGGGTGCAAAAGATTTAGGCACAGGAATAGCCTATTGCAAGAATATCACAACTTTGACGCTTGAATTATAGTAAAAATTTAATTTATTGATTAATAAACTAATGTGCGCTTGCCACGTGAATTACCGGAATATTTTAAGCTTTTGACATATTTATTAGCTAATTAAGCCAGTTTGCTTGTCATTTACTAACTTTCTTATTTACTTACTAACCAAATAAAATATAACGAATTTCTTTACTTACTTACTCATCACAACACAACTAAAATACTAACGAAAGCCATCGTTTTTTTACCATCCTTTCTCCTCCATATTTATTTATATAATTCGTTATTTATTCTTATATTTAAAGTTCGAATAATATTGGTGCATATGGTGCAAAAGATTTAGGCACAAGTATAGCCTAGTGCAAGAATATCACAACTTTGACGCTTAAATTACGGTAAAAATTTAATTTATTGATTGATAAACTAATAATAGAGAATGGAATATCTTAAGCTTTTGACATAGTTATTAGCTTATTAAGCCAGCTTTCTTGTCATTTACTAACTTGCTTAATTACTTATTTACTTACTAACCAAATAAAATATAACGAATTTCTTTACTTACTTACTCATCACAACACAACTAAAATACTAACGAAAGCCATCATTTTTTTACCATCCTTTCTCCTTCATATTTATTTATTTAATTCGTTATTTATTCTTATATTTCAAGTTCGAATAATATTGGTGCATATGGTACAAAAGATTTAGGCACAGGAATAGCCTAGTGCAAGAATATCACAACTTTGACGCTTAACTTAGGGTAAAAATTTAATTTATTGATTGATAAACTAATAATAGAGAATGGAATATTTTAAGCTTTTGACATATTTATTAGCTAATTAAGCCAGCTTACTTGTCATTTACTAACTTGCTTATTTACTTATTTACTTACTAACCAAATAAAATATAACGAATTTCTTTACTTACTTACTCATCACAACACAACTAAAATACTAATGAAATCCATCTTTTATATAATTTTTTGTTTGGTATGCATACATTACAAATTGTACATATTTTTTTAAATTAAACAAAAAATATCAACTACAAAGTGAACAATTTGTACAACCACCCTTTTTTTTAAATGAACATTTTTACTAAGATTATTTTTAAAAATTAATTAAAAAAATAATAGAAATTATTTTACATTTTAAATTTCTATAAAAATTATTATTTTTATATATTCTAATTTAATTGCGCTTTGTGCGCTCTCTATCAAAATGCTTAATTTTAATGTGCAAAAAATTTTTGAATTAAATTCTGTTCACTTAAAAAATAATCCCTTTTTTTAGTTATTAGATTTATTTAAAACATAATCATATTTACTTATAAAAATATTATAATTTTCAATATTTTTTCAGTTATTAAAATAATTAAAAATTCTTAGTTGTAATCTTAAAACTAACAAAATATTTATTTATTTAAAATTCTTTTACTATTTGTTGAAATTATAATTTTTAATTTTAAAGATTAGGTCATGATTTGAATATTCAATTACAGAATTTCTTCGAAAAATAATTATAAGCTAAAAAAGTAAAATATAATTAGTTAAATTTATAAAAAATTGATTTATTTTAACTAATAAAATAGATAAATATAGATTGACAATCAAGTAATAGATAAATTTAGCAAACCTGATTAATAATTTATAAATTAAAAAGTTAAGCTCTCCATAAAAATAAATATGTTTCATAAAAATATTTATTTGAAAATTTTGTTTTTTATAAGTATATTGATTAATTAGATAATGTTGATTATTTATTGTTTGATTTATACCTAAAAACTTTTTTTAAATTCTAATCAGAAGTATATATATAATCTTTGAAAATATTTTATTTTTAAAAGCATTAGTTGATGTGATGAATTTATATAATTTATTAGAAATACTACTATATGGATCTAACAATATAATTATAAATATGCCTAACAAAAAAAGTATTATTTTATAAATACAAGGCAATCAGGTTATTTAATTATATTTGGATAAAATTACTGTTCTCTCTAAATAAATAAATAATGTTCGTTTAAGTTTGTAAAAGCAATAAAATAATTATCTAAATAATAGCATTAATTTTAAATTATAAGCATTTGTAATAAATAAAATACTGATTAATAAAATTCTTATTTAATATTTTTATTAACATATATTTTATATGAAATTTAATTAATATTCACACATATTTTTTACAAATTAAGATTCACTAAAATTTATTTTAAAAAATATATTTTTTTAGTAATTTATATAAATTAGCGTTATTAATTAAATTATTCTTTTTCATATATAAAAAAATAAAGCAAAAATAAATATTCATTAAATATATCTATTGAATATTTATATAACAATAGACAAGAGAACGAGTTAGAATAATTTAATTGTATATTAAGCTATAAAAACTACTTTTAAATAAGATTTTCAAAATATAAATTATATTTTTTTTTAACACTAAATAGTTGTCTTAATTTCTTTTAATTAAATATTAATTAATTAGCATCGCCTCTTCAAAATTAAAAATAAATTTTACTTTACTACTACAAAAAATTAATTTAGTATTTATTTAATAATTTTGTATGTTTTAAAACTGTTTTGTTAATTTTTTAATTTTAATTTATTTGTTTAATCGTTAATTTTCTTTATTATATTAGATTGAAAAAAATTGGTAATGATTAATGTTTATATTTTAATAATTTGAATTACTCTAAAATACTTTATAAAAATCTAAATAATCTCAACAACACTCAACTCAAAAATATTGAAATCAATAAATAACTATTTAATCTTAATAGAATATTCTCTAAATAAAATATCTTTTTTTAACAAAAATATAAAATAGATTAGCGAAATTTAAAGAGATACTATTTATTATAAATGAACTAATTCATATATATAAATCTTATATTATTCTATAAATGATATTTATTTCTATTAAATTTAAGATAATTTCTTAAGAAAAATTATATCAAAAATCTTTAAGATAATATTTTCTTTTATTTAAATATGGATAATATTCATTATCAGTAATATTTATCTTCTTTATTTAAACATTGACGATTTATTTTTGTTTATAAAAATATGAAAGTTTTGGAATTTGTTTTTTAACATCTTTACTAATTATTAGTTTAACAGTATTAATATTTGATTTGGAAAAACTCTTAATTATTTTAGATAAATCATTTTTGTCAAAAGATTCCAAATATTTAAGAATTAAATTTAGTTATATTAATGATTTAAATCCTTGCAAATCAAGTAATTATTCATATGTATATTCGTAAATATAAGTCAATTGTTGCAAATTTACGAATTCATAGGAAAGCCATACTTCCAAATTAGTTGTTTAATATGCTAAATATTTGTGTAAGTAATTTTATCCAAAAATTTCTTTGAAATATGCTAAAGTGATTGAAAATTCAAATAGTTATTATATTTGTTTGTAATTTTCGTATCTTAGTAAAATATATTATTGATCACCAATCAAGTAGTATATATTTTCATCAAATATCAAAATATTCAGTTTTTAGAAAGCAAGATAACCTTCTAATTCAAAGTTATATTCTAAAACTGTACAATTTTAATTTTTTAGCACTTCAATTTCATTTTCATTGAATTCATTTAGGTTTATTATTTTACTCAATTAATCATTTTCATTCTATTCATAAAAAACATTTACTTTGATTTATCCAAATTTTTTGTCTAGTTAGAATACTTTTAAATCATATAAGAATTTTTAAATAAACGAACTTGGTTATTTCAAAAATAATTCCTATAATTTATCCTCCTCTACACCTTTATTTTCATATTCCCACATTAATTACAAAAAAAGTTATTTTAAACATTCAGGGAAAGTGTATGAATTAATTACAAGAGAATTTATTTAAAGAGAAGGATTAATTTTACTTAATTCTAATATCTTTTTAAATGATTTAGGATAACAACTCAGGTGTTCAGTAAGAGCTATTTAAATTTTATTTAAATTTTTTTCTGAAATCTTAATTTTTGTATAGAATTCATATTATCTGATAATAATTAAATTATTAATTATTAACTAAAGTCTATTGAAAACATCTGAAATAGTTTCTAACTAAATTTCAGAAATCTTTTAGAAAAAAATCTCAATTAAATTTTAGATAGAATTTTTAAAATTTTTTACAGGCTCATTATTATGATATTTAACAAAATGCTAATGAAGCTAAAATTCATTAATTTCAGTATATTAAGTTGGAAATTGTTAAATGCTTAATCCATCAATAGTGAATGCATTTTATAGATCCTCATTAAAGTCAATTTCATTATCTTCATCTGAATCATAGCCATATTATTTACCAATGAGTATATTTTCTGGGTTTATTTTTGTAATTTAAATACCGTTTTTAAATAACAGCTAATAACTGTAATTTATAAACTTTTTTAAATCATTTAAGCTTAAATTACGATATAAAAATTTTTTTTGTTATTTTTAAAGCTATCCAATAAAAGTTTTTTCAACTAAAACGTAGATTTGTTGTGGATTTATTTAGATTTATTCAATATTTAAAAATGTTGAAGAAATCTTATTTTTAACAATAGATTCATATTAATTAGATAAACTTTGTGCTTACTCAACAGAGCAAGCTTTGTAACCTTCTAACAAAATAGTTTATTTCCCTTTATTAACATTCAAGATAAAGATACTTTCATTTGATTCTACAACTTCAAAAGTTTTGTACTTTGGGTGTTTTTAAATGATCTCAAAAATTTCCAAGCAATGAAAATTCAAAATGTTTGAAAAAGTATTCTAAATCGCATTAGAAAGATCTTTTTTGGGTATTTTCATTTTAACTAGTTTAATTATATCCTAAATTTGGTCTAAATATTTTTATTATTTTCTAGCAAACTCATTACTACTTTAGCTTTATAGTGGCAGATCTATTATTTTCTCAAAACTCATATTTTTATTCACTTATTTTTAATTTTCTTCTTCTTCAACTTAATTTAAATCTTCATCATCCTCTTCAATTTCAATTTCATTTTCACTTTCATCATAATATTAATTTTAACTTTCATTATCATCTACTTTTTAGTCATCTTATTGGTAATAATTTTGATTATTATTAATATATTAATTTTATTACTATTTAATATAAGGACTAATCAAATTAAGTTTAATTTGGATTTTATCTTAATTTATTAACATAACATAAAATTCAAGATAATCTCCATTATTTATGTAATCAAAATCACGCACTAAATTTAGATTTTCTTAGAAGTAATTGTAAATTTCCTCTTTCAAAGAATTAGTAGTTTTATGATTGAGCAGGTATTATTTCTCAAAGTTTCCTAAGGATTAATCATAATATTCCATTTCAAATACATAATAGATTTTTTCAGTGTCAAGGTAATATTAATTAATTAAATTTAAAATAATATCGTTTCTCAGGATGCTTTTCATTATTTTTTGATACTATGAGATAGCATTTGCGTTTTCTATTGCTTAAATAATAATCAAAAGTTTATATCTTAATTCTTGATTATCAAAAACTTTAGCATGTCTATAACTGAAATTAGTAGTATCTAATTTATTTTTTAATTCATCCGAGTTTATAAATTCAACAAAATCTAAATGAGTCTTTTTTGTAAATTTATACATAGCTTGATATAACTATCTCGCAATAAATTGTATTAATTTTGGAATCTTTTTTGAAACATTTTTTTAGTTTATTGATAGATAGATACTTTATTAATTAATTAATAATTTATTAATTATATGCTAATTTCACCAAACTCTTAAAGAAGATAAAATTCGTTTCGCGCTTTAGAATTCACTAAATTTTATTTGAAAAAGATATTTTCTATTATTAATTTAAATACAATAAAGATCAATATTTTCCCCGCTCCCGTTTTCCCCGCTTTTTTTTTTCAAGAAAATGCGGGGAAAATATTTTGAATGGAGGGGTACGGTGAAAATATCGATTACTGTATTTAGATTTTATTTACACTTTTCCTAATGAAAAACAAATAATACAACAAGCAAGAACAAACAAATAAATAATGAACCTGAAAATGTTTAAAAGCATTAAAAAAAATAATATCACTCATTTTAAATTAAAAATACACATAAAAAATACAACAATTTTTTTATATTTATAAGAATAGTGATTAAATGAATCTAATAATTATTTTTATTCTGGTTAACATATTTTTATATAAAATTTAATCCACATTCATTCATTCATTCATTCATTCATTCATTCACACATATGAAAAACTTGAATTATTTTCGCGCTTTAGAATTCATCAAATTTATTTTGAAAGAGATATTAATTTCCCCTATTCATTTAAAAATTAATATTATTATTCTTTATCCAAACAATAAAACATTGAATCAATCAATCAATCAATCAAGCAATAACAAATAAATAGATAAATAAATAAATAATGATTCTTAAAGTTTGTAAAACCAAAAAAAAATAATAAATATCATTCATTTTTAGTTTAAAACATACTTAAAATTTAACCATTCATTATTATATTTTTATAAGAATAGTGATTAAATAAATCTAATAGCTATTTTTATTTTAATTAACATTCTTTAAATGAAATTTAATCAGCTTTCATTCACAAACATATTCTGTATGAAATAATTATTTTCGCGCTTTAGAATTCCCCAAATTTATTTTGAAAAAGTTATTAATTTTTTACTCATTTAAAAATTAATATTTAATTATTCTTTATCCAAAAATAAAACAATTAATTAATCAATCAAGCAAGCAAGAACTAGTAAATAAATAATGATCCTTAAAGTTTGTAAAAGAAATAAAATAGTTATCTAAATAAAAATATTCATTTTAAATTATAAGTATTCATAATAAATAAATTACGTATTAATTTCATCAAATAAATCTATTCAGTATTTATCTAAATAATAGAAATGAGAACGAGTTCGAATAATTTAATTGTAAATTGAGCTATAAAATCTTCTTTAAAATTGTTGAGTTAGAGTTTAGAATTTTTTAAAACA